ATGATGATTGTTCATTTAAACTAAAAGCATATCTAGGCCAAGTCAACAAAGTGATAAGAGTGGATTATATGTGTTAGCAACTGTTACATATGTTAAATCTAATGAATAAATGTTTACCACATTACCTATGAAATTATTTACAATTAGAGTGTTATATGTACATAAGTATGCAGTTTCTGGCTTTTTCAGTATATGCCATGTTGTCTATATAAACATATAAAAACCGTTTTAACATAATATAAACGAGTTTGAAATACAACAACTTAATTTGGTATATATAACTTCGGCAGCGACATACTATATTTATATGTACATTTTATAGGGTCTCCGACTTTTCCTTCTGGGTATTGCAAACTTTGTGGCAAACTGTATATACCCTGTTCAGGGTATAATAAAATAAATTTATGAAATAAAGAAGTTTGGTTCAATATATAAACACAAAACAGGAAAACAATTTATCATATCAAATTTAGAATTAGCCAGTTTTGAATGCGAAACCTAAACCTCTGCACATGCACAAAGAAGTTTTCACTTAATGTAGTACTGCATTTTTTTATTTAGTAAACGTTAATAGAGTTGTCATGAAATATTGACTAATATAACCCTGAACTTTAAAGAAATGTACCTTTCTTGAAGAATTTTGAACTCCAATTGCCAAACCCTCGATAGCAGAATGTAGAGACAATGCTACAAAAAGTCCCAAGGTACCAGTCATAGATTGAACACATGGTTCTTCATGACTCGTATGACATAATCTCGCATTAGATTCCGCAATAACTGCTTCTTCTGCACAATTTGATGTATTATAATACGAATGTCGGTGAGTTGATTCATCATTCGTATCAGTACTATTTTGTTGACCTCCTCCATTTCTATATTATAAAAAAAAAAAATAAAAATAAAATTTTTTAATTTTCTCAATAAACTTACTGGTTAGCATACTGATCACGTCTATCACTCAAAAGTGGAGTTCTGTCCGTATCCAAATTACTATTACGGTGACTGTTGGCTCTGTTGGAGCCATGAGAATGTGTGTGCTGTATGGCTTCACCAAAGAAGTAATGTATGAACTCATCAATAAAATATATTAAAAAAAATCCTCCACAAATACTTATTTCCGCAAAGTTTGAATTCATTTGTTTGCGTACTTCCGGCAAAATATGAACAAGGGCAGTAGCCAAAAGTATACCAGCTCCGAAGCACAACAATAGCGATATAGTTAGAGGAAAACGTCGACGATTTTGCGCTGAAATGACGGCAGGAAGCATTCCAAACAAAAAGCTACCAAGACCTAAACTACACATAGCCAAGATTTTTTCACCATCTCCGCGGTCTACACTACCATTACTTGAATACGACATTGCTAAAACACGAGTGTTGCTAAAACCCTTTTTACAGTAAGAAATTTGTTGATATAAAACATAAAATGCTTAAATTATTATAGTAGACGCAGCAAAGTTCAACTATTACTGTAAAGACACATCCAAAAATTGTGATCTATAGCATCAATTTCAATGCGTAACAAAGAGCAATCTAAGCACTCCCTTTAGTTGAAAATGCGAACAGAATGAACATTAATCGCTCTAATCTTATCACTATACCGTCTTTTGATGTTTTATTTATAAACATAAATAACTTAAATAATGAACATGTAAACAACATGCGAAAATTATCAAAAGGTAAACTATTGCAGAGTTGCTCTTGCGAGATCTTCAAATGTATTTATTTGTTAGTAAATATTTGTATTGAATTTCAATTATATTATTTGCTAAAAGTCTTTGTGTATAAAGTTTTTTATTTCATAATAAAAAAAGAACAAATAATTAGTAAAGTTAGAATTAATGTAATTTTCATTCTAGAATTCTCCACAGCAACCCTAATCAATGACGTCAAAAGTAAATTGGTACTAATATTCTTGTGGGGTTATTGCACATATATTGTACACCAGCTGCATTTCGCTGCAATACTGCTTGCAAAGTGTTTCTTATTTTGAGAGATAGAATAACCCTATAATATATAAAGTGATTGAGTTTGGGAAATATATGTATATCTATTTGTTAAAATAATTGTTCGAGTAAATATGTTTTAATTTATAAAGATAAACAATTTTCTTTAATCAACAAAAATTAAATTATCGGCAAATGGTATGGATTTTGGAGACGGTGTAACTGTAAATCTTTCTACGTCCGTTGACTGCAAAAACGGTGATAACGGTCCAAAATTGACTATAGCACCTGGGTTACAACTAAAAGAACTTTCCCAAAACGATGGTGATGCGAATTCTACTGGTAATGTACAGGTAACGTTATTGCATCCTCAAAGCCGCGAGATGTTAGCTGAAATGCAAAATAGCATTGAAAGTACGGGAGATAGCAATAATAGTAATGGTGACATGGTCATGTTGGACAATAATGGGTGCAATGAGCAATCCTCATTTGAAAATAAAGAAAACATCCCAATTATTGTTTCATTAAAAAAACACACTGACTTTGCAGTATTAAGTACACCATCAAATGAACCTATAGGTCCAATGTTGAAATCAGCTATTGAATCGAAATTTGAACCCGATATTGCAAATGACCTTAAAAGGCAACAATCACCAACAAATTTACAACATCGAGAGTCGATTTCGTGTGGTATAGAAGAGTCTACTGAAGTGCTGTTAGTTAACTCTTCAGAGTGTGATGAAAAATATTTTGGAAGCGGTCGCACCTATTCAGGCACGGATTCTGATATTGAAGTTTTAATGTCGGAAGAGATCGTTGATTCCGATTGGTCAGCCGGTAACACGGCTACTGAAGATTTGGGGCAAACGCCTGAAGAAAACAGCGAAGTTGTAAAAGCAGTAAATGCTCCCAAAATGTGTTCCGGAAAGCAAGTCAATATTCCTAATAATGATAAATCAGTAGCGGTTAAAGAATTAATTGATCAGGAAATATCAGTAGAAAATAGCAGTTGCAGTTCACTAAGTAATAGTGAACAGGTAGGTACGGATCAATTACTTAAAGTTATTGGCGAACAAACAAGTTATATACAAAGCTTGAAGAGTACGATTGCCCGTTACCGCGAAACATATAAAACTATACTGGAGCATGTGGATGCACTACGACTCGCATTAGATGTGAAAAATATCGAAGATGTGAAAGTAAAAATGGATGCTAACGGTGTAGACAAACTTGGATCTCAAAATGTTATTAAGCATAATTAAATTTACGAACATTTTATAATTTAGACTTCACATTCTCAAGAAATATTCCATTGTTTTATATGTACCCATTCAAATATTGCCCATATCGCAAATATTACGTGATAATTATTTTGTGAAAACTTTTAATCAAAGAAAATATATACAAAGCGTTTGACTGAAAAATGAAAATGTTTTTAACTCAAAAGGTGAATAAATAATTTAACAACTCTCGGTAGAGTTTAATCCATGGTGTCCAAAGTAAACTTAATGCAATTAGGGCTCCCAGCTATAATCCTTTACATTGGTTTATTTGTACATCTAACTATCCCAACATAACTCCAAAATTAGCTGTTCTACCTGAAATCGTCATTATTTATTTTAGAGTGTAAAAGTTCATATTTGGTTTCAAATTTTTATTCTCGAATGATATAACATGTATCCTACATATTTTTTGCATCACTTGCAGCTATTTTACTTTTATCTTAAGCCGATGAAGTAATAACATCGGTATATAATTTAACCTTGCTTGCAATGCTCATATCAACATACTTGTCGCCAATAGAAACGATTAAACCACCAATAATGCTAGGATCTACACGTGACGTGATTTTTAATTGTTGATTTCCTTTTAAGAATGACTGGAAGAAAAAAATATCATATAATATACAATAAGAAACACACATTGTAATATTTTAATTACTCTAAGGGCAGATTCCAACTGTTTGCTCTGGGATGAATCCAAGGGCTTAGCAGTTACAACTTCGCAAACAACTTCCCCTCGGTGAGCAGCCATAATAGTCTTATAGGCATTTATAACAGTGTCTAAATTTTTCAATCGTCCATTATCAGCTAAAAGCCCCAATAGGTTGGCAGTCGCTGGGGCCATCTTCAGCTTATCTGCTGTCTCCTTAAGTGTGTTTGACATAAGCTTTTTGTTGATAATTGGATTGGTAACAGCCATACGCAACGAAACGTTGCTCTTTAAAGCTACTTGCAATGCATTCAAATCCTTTTCCACCTGGTCCAACTGTTTCAACTTGGAGGCTGCTGAATAAAGAGATGTAGCATAACGACCTTCAAGACCAAAAACTTGAACCGGAGGCTTTACAAATTGAGTTGTAGAACTGAGGGATCGGCTCTAAATAAATTCAAGTAAAAGAGAAGACAAAAATTACATAACTAAAAGTACATGCAAATTCTCAGATAAAATTTTGTATCGCATCTTTGTATAACATGTTATAATACTATTAAATTATTTATATATATTTGATGGAGTATTTCAATTGTCGAAAGTATTCTATTCTATTCAACATACCAAAAGAGCAAGTTTATTAGCGGTCGCCATCGTTGAAAATCGAAATTTTTCACAAATGTCGCTGAATAAAGTTATTAACAATGACAACCAGTGCCGCCAACTTAATTTGCTACTCTGAAAAAAGTCTGGCAACTCTACAATGACAGCATGATGAGTTTAGGAGGAGGTTACACCATAAAGTATTTAAAATATAGACATGTAACATTTCGTGTAATCTGCTTAAAAAAAACGTAAGCCATAATTACTATACAAAAATCATATTAAAAATCAAAGTATGAAAAGAATTCCAAAAAACAATGGCTCATGCAAACATTATATGTACTTGAGATTGAACCCCTAATTCAATTTTAATATATTTGATATATGTAACTGTTGATTTTCTAAATAATTTTATAATATACGATTCAATACCATAAGGTTCACAAAAATAATCCTTTTATTGCACAGACATTAAAACCCCTTTATTGACGTATTTAATTAAAACAAATGATAGACAAATTACTATTGTTTTCTCGTAATATTTATTTTTAATTCTTTTCCGGGAAATACATACAGTCTAAGTAGTATGAATTCAAATTCCTTGTATTTACGCATAGAAATTAACACGTCTATAATGAAACTCCATATATGAAGCTATCGTCTGGTGAGAAGCTGCATAATGTGATAAACTTTTATACTCCAACAGAGGGGAAGCGCAACATCAAATTATTAACATTTCCCATAATTAATTTAATTTAGCAAATGTCAAAAAGTTTTATTCGTTGAAGTCAAATTGAGAAAAGTTTTGGATAGATAAAATTATTATTCTGCTGGTGGCCACTTTCAATTACGTTTCTTAATGTTAAAGAAATTTATCTTTGCGGTATTTTATAGAAGACCAATTAAAAAATAACGCCGCATTTACTTTTCATCTGGAAATTAAAAAGGATAAATATCAATTAATCGAATACAAATACTACTCCAATTGAATTATACCTTCTTCATCATCTTCTTCGCCTTCTGCATCTTCATCATCAAATAATTCCTCTACAAAACGGATATAAAGAAATATAAAAAATAATCCCATGGAAACCTTGAGCTATACAACAACATACCTTCATTGTCCTCATTATCATCATCATCTTCTGGTTCAACCTCAATATCAGGTACTAAATAATACTGAAGAGGATTCGGCCAGAGATCATCTTTGATTAATTCAGCTATCTCATCATTAACAGGATCAGTGTTGTCTGAGAACCAATCGAAAAATGTCTTGTAGTCCGCAGGTCGTTTCCGCTTATTTTGTTGATACGGCTTTGTCATACATGATCTTATAAGATCTTTACCATCTTTCCATTGAATGGGAGTGCTCGTCGACGATGGACAATCACTGTTTTCCGCGTCTAAAAAGGATAATAGTAATTATTTGAAATGTTACAAGTGCACTTTAATATAACACATACTTCCCGATCCTAAGTGAAACTCTTTAGTAAGGACCTTATTTTCAAAATAAGGATTTTCGTCGAAATAAAAATGGATACGGTACCCCGATTTTATATCCTCAAATTCTTCTACTTCTAACTTGGTAAGAGCGTGTAGACATTCCTCCTCTTCTTCATCCAAAATGGCAGACACTTGTGGATGGTTAATAAACTTGAGAAATAAAAGTACAAACCTTTTTAAACTTTACATATTTCAATATAACTACAATAAAATACAATACTGCAATAAAATATATATTGGATATAATGCTATATGTGGTGAAATATTTGTAATGATTATTATAAATTTATTTTATTTTAATTGAATAGAGAATGACACTAGTTTAGTGACATACAATCTTTGGCACATTTTTTTTATCAAGAAGATCGTGCATTAATCTCGGAAAATAAGCAGTGTTGAATGAAACTCACAAGAGCGAAAATGTGTACACAAAGCGCCACGCCGTTTTATTACTACCAGCAGTCTCACACATACAGACCGATATATCGTTGCGGTACCATATTGGTATGAATGCTTTTGCAGATGCCAGTAAAAAGGGTAAGCGAAAAAACGTGCAAAAGGACCGATTTAGAATACACAATTTTTACGTTTTCAGCACACATACAAGAAAATAATGTTACATGATATGAACAAAATTTTCTTACAAATCTTAAAAATTATTATCCTTTCGGATAACTTTGGCGCTTTGATTACTGATACGAGTTATGGATTCTTACCGCTGTCACCCAGAAGTTCGGAATTCGTTTCACTAACTCGCTACGCTTCTCATAGCATGGCTTCCTTAATTTATTGTATTTCTGCTCCACTTTGAGTATTTCTTCGCTAGCCTTCTCATTAAGTGCGTCAATCTCATTTTGACATGCATCAATTAATTCCAAAGCCTCAGACTCTTCCTCATTAGGTGCGTTTGCAGTCGTCGCGTTGCCATCACCATCATTAGACAATTTAGCTTTTTTGCTCGGCAGACTGGACATTTCGATAATTAGTTGGTTTAATTAATTTAAGACTTTTTCCCCGTTTTTTAAGAACTTTCACTGCACATATAATGGGTACAGTCGTTACGCCGCAACCGTTTTTTATTCACGAAGAAGCGCAATTTGTAATTCTTTCTTCTTGCTTTTCCACCCCTCTTCTAGAACACCTATTCAGAAAATGCAAAAATGCCGCACAAAACTGTTGCAAAGTGACGATGAGAAATAAATGGCGAATGCCATGAAAGCCGGCAATTCGCATGCAGATGTTGGTAGCACTGTCACTGTGATATGAGATACCAACTATCGCAAATTTCATACAAATTTCTCATTTTCACATCAAATTATACGCACATATGAATTATATATTCTATTTGTAACAAAACTTTTTTTTTTATGTAATTATTAATTATTTTCCTTCATAACTTACATCATATTAATACTTACAACTAAACCAGTGAACTAGATGAATTATTTATTTTTCTTTCAATGTCGAAGAAAGATGTGATCGAATTATAATATTGTAATATGTTCAATATTTATCGAGCTAGTATTTTCGTATTATTGAAAGGAATATTTGCTTCATTTTTCGACAGACAATTTTAAAAAATGTCAAAAGCAACCCCAAGAAAAACTTGTTGGAAATTTTGAAGAAAGCATTGATGCAACTATTTCTAGATAATAAAGTAGTCCTCAGTTTTTGGAAAATTAAAATTTTCTTTATATAAATATGAATAAATAATATATTTATAATACAAATCCCGCGGCTTTTTCAATAATTCGTTCCCTTTTATCTCGCATATAATATATGACAAAATGTGCTAAACGTTCAATATTTATCCCGCGGTTTTGACGTATATAGTTCAAAATACATCCCTACGGAATTGTATTCTATATTTGTTTCGCTCACATAATCTACCAAATATCTCTTTCGTATCTTTCGTAGAAAGCCGCCGCGTGAAGTTGGCATATTTCTTTACAAGTGACCGATAAATTTTGATGTTTAGACGTAAACGAGTGTGATTTAAATTACTTCTTGACCGTGTGAATATTTAATATAAAAATATAAAAATGTCTACGACAGAAGCACAAATAAGTGTGAATACAAACTTACAAAAACAGGATCTTGGTAATTTGGTAAGTGCCTAAAAGTGTTTGAGAAATATGGAGTATGGTTCATGGAATGAGTGCAAAAGAAAAAAAACACTAAGATTTGACAGAGGACAACGCGGCATATGTCAATTATATCAAATGAATACTGGTTTTATAGTTTCGTTCATGAAAATGTACCTCTGTATTAACTATACTTGAATTATTTTCCGAAGTCTTCATTATCACGAATTAGTGTGATTTATACAAACATGACATTTCCATTTTTCCCATATTCACGGCTTTACTTGACGCTGAAAACTATTCTCCGCATAGGAAAACCTATTGTAAAATGAAAAGAGACTCTGCACGTGGCGTATGAAATCGATAAGAATTTGTATAAAATCTCAATATATTCATTAAAATGTAAAAAACGTAATTAGGAATAATTTGAGTAAACATTCCACCACCGTCAGTTGTTGATAAATTAATAAATCATAGATTTCTGATGCAATATGAGAAATCTAACCTCATTTAGACAGCTCTTTTTTTGCTAAAGATAAATACATATACATGTGTATATGCATTTTCTGAATGATATATTAGATATTAAATTATTTGTGTTTTAAATGAATGCCTTACACATTATGTATTTACAGGATTTAGAAAATTTAACTCCACTATCTCCGGAAGTGATTTCGCGCCAAGCTACTATTAATATTGGTACAATTGGACATGTAGCCCACGGTAAATCAACCGTAGTTAAAGCTATTTCCGGAGTACAAACTGTTCGCTTTAAAAATGAACTGGAGAGAAACATTACTATTAAGCTCGGTATGTATTATGGTTTCATCAAACCATTTTTTCAGCTCATATAGTATATTGGGAAGTTTTCAAAATTTGTTTAGGTACATATGTATATTATTATATTAATGAAGCAACAATAAAAAGTACTAAATAGTATTTTTAATTAAACCACATAGTGAATTAGATATATTTATCATTAATAACATGTCCATTAATCACAAAAATGTTTAAAACAAGTTCTTTCAGTATACACGAATACTTTTAAATATGTTATTAGAATAATATACTGCGTGTATTTAACATTAATTAATATTTTCAATTGTATATGTACGCATATATAAGTGCTGCGTAACTTATGTCGGTATGCATATATCAACATATAATTGGTACAAAAATTTGTTATAGGAAATTCTTAAAATATAAGAAGTAACCGAATGAAACAGTTCCTTAAATTAATACCTTTTGGAACTCTGCCACAATCCTTCATTCAAGTATAACATTGATGCAATATAAATATCAAAATATATTGTAATTTCGATTTTAGAAAAAGAGAATTGTTTGAATTTTGTTGTTACATCTTTTTAGTTTTCCGAAGACACTTCACGTTTTATATTGGTGAATATCTATAGTAGACCAAAATTTAAAGCAAAGAAAACTCCTTTATTTCGTTTAGTAAATAAGTCTTTATTAGATTTGTCGTCGTAAATCCTTATTAATATGTTGAATCAATTTAATTACTTAAAAATGTTCACAATTATACAAAGTGTAACTAATAATTAAAAAAAAAATAATACCTTCCTAATATTACGTTTAATCGCCAACACCACAGTAATACATCATTTTATTTGGCACATTGTAACTATTCACTGTCAGCTGCTGTAGATTATCGTCGTTTTTGGGATTCAGTGGACTCAGTTTATTTTTGTGTATGCAGTAAGATAATAAAGATTGAAAAGACGAAAAGTGCCAAAGGAATTCCATTTAAAGTTTTAAGTTGATTAAATTAGTTGCTGGAAAATTTGCAGTTCTTTAAAATTTGCTATTTCATAATAAAATTAAAATATTTAGTAATGAAAAGTAATGTGTGCATAGTATTTCTTAAGGAGATATTGATAGGCGTCTTGGTAGATCGGCATTTGTGATGGACATTATAATTAATATTTTTTATAATGTACAAAAATGTGCTCTATTTAATAGCATTATTGAAGTTTTGTCTTGTTTTGAGCACTAAATTTCTATATATTAAAATTCAATATTCTAACTAGCAGACTCCAGCACATTAATTTAATTTCTGTTTTCTTCTGTTTTTCTTTGGCTTTTATTTTCACTTTAAATGGAATTCCATGCGTGCATCTGAACTTGAATTTATAACTTCACAATCGGTACTGGTTGCTGGATATTTGCATTCTTCAGAACGTTTGAGTGAAGAAAAACTTCGAGCTTTAATGAGATCGCCAAAATTGCTGCGCGATTTTGAAGCGAAATTAGAAGAAAAACGACGTAATACTTTGGTCAGTCATGAACCGCCGACATTCCGAGTCCGCAATTATAAACAACGTAGTGTCAGCGTAGATACTCACCTAACTAGTACATCAGCACGCAGCAGCAGTCTCGGTGAAACTCAACCAACTCGTGGTACCTCAACAAGCCCTAGCAGCGGTTATGATAGTCATTCGGAATGTGGTACATCTATTCATGGCGATCAAAAGCGCAGGTCTAGTATGCCGCGTTCACGTGTCTTCTCCAGTACAATCAACGCAATAACATATTCACCAGTGGTTAAAAAACGAAATAAACCCGAGTCAGACAATAATTTAGCGGAGTCTGAGAGTGAACAGACATCGATTAACAAGCGAAAAAAGCTTAAACAATTCAAAGTAAATAAAGAGTATATTGTAGAACGCATAGAATCGATTGAGTCGATCAATGGAAATCCAATATTCTTCGTCAAGTGGTTTGGCTATCCTCCAGAAACGAACACTTGGGAGTCTCTCAACAATATTTGTGAATGTACACTGTTTGAGCCATTCATTGAATCGCGTTATAGATTACATGAGTTTATTATTACAAAAATAACCACTGAAATTGAATTGGAAATTGCTGATAAGGGCCTAATTTTTAGTATGACCAACTTACAAATAGATGATTTGGATAAATATGATCCTCTGGCACTGAAGGCCGACTTAATATTATTAGCGCAATTCCGTGCATGCCGATCTCGTAATCAACGCGAAACGGAAAAGATTCGTAAACGAATTATTGATATGATGCTTTTGAAACCTGTCTATTACCGCCGCAAACAGCAACAAAATGAGCTACAATCATTTCAGGATCGCATGAATAAAATAGAAAATTCGGCACCGATAACGGTAGAGAATCTTGTCGATTTGGAGGTCATTGATTCAGCTTTTAACTACATTAAAGACAGTTTCGCTGGGGTAAATGTGAAAATCCAAGAGGATCCACCAATAGGTTGTAAATGCGAAAACGATTGTGCACCATTGTCATCGTGCTGTGCGCGCATGGCGGGTAGTTATTTTGCTTATGATAAGACTGGGCGCTTACGTATTAAACCTGGAGAAGCTATTTATGAATGTAATAATAAGTGTGTGTGCGACGAAAAATGTGTAAATCGCGTTATACAGCGTGGACGCAGTAACAACCTTTGCATCTTTCGCACATCCAATGGTTGTGGTTGGGGTGTACGAACCGAGAAACCTTTGCGTAAGGGAGAATACGTTTGCGAATATGTGGGGGAGATAATTACCAGCGAAGAGGCGAATGATCGTGGTCTTACATACGACGCCATTGGACGCACTTACCTCTTCGATTTGGATTACAATACCTCAGGAGAGAGTGTGTATACAATCGATGCGGCGCTCTATGGCAATATATCGCATTTTATAAATCACTCATGTAATCCAAATTTAGCGGTATTTCCTTTCTGGATTAATAATCTGGATATCAATATGCCACGTTTAGCGTTTTTCTCTCTTCGACCAATAAAAGCTGGAGAGGAATTGACTTTCGATTATGTGCGCACAGACTATGAAAATTTGTCAGCAGCAGAGAAGGTGTCTTGCCGTTGTGGTGCAGAAAACTGCCGCAAAGTATTGTTTTAATTACCAATATAACAAAATGACAAAAACTTAATTATATTTGTATGGAAAAAGTACAAGCAAGAATATTCTTGCATATAGAAACAAAAGCTGAAATTCGGTTTATAAGCTAAATTTCTAACGGAGTTATTTTATATTATATATACTTTGTCTAA